TTTATGTAAGTACAATTTAATTTTGGAACTCTACTATTCACAAAATGTATTTTTTTAATAATGTTATTCTTTTTCTTAATGACAAAGGAGCTACTTGTCTTAAAGCTGTATAGAACTATTACTTATAAAGACATTAACACTGTTCAACTAGCTTTGTCTAAAGTCTAGTCACTCCCCAGTAGATACACCTATCTATGTTACTATCGTTATTAATAATGAATATCCTATGAAAGAATATATGTATTATCGATATGTACCTCGTTAGGATAGTTATTGATTGAAGAATATGTCTGAGATATTAAGTTCTATCAAGTGCCGTTGATAGAACATACATTCCAACTGTAAGGCGCACATGATATGCACGTAATATGTGTCAGCTGTATGCGGCGATAAATTCATTGTGTAATGGCCATGCCGCGTTTCAAATTGGGCCGTTCCCTCCCAAGAGCGCCCCGCGCGCATCATAACCATTATATAAAATACTCGCTACTATTCAGTTCTGAAACGCATCTAGAAACGCACACTTGTGACCGCCTAGCGCCATCTATCCATGATGTTTAGAATTATTACATGCACACGAATGTTTTGGTTGTGTGTACCATAGCATGTAAAATTGTGCGTGACGCCATAGCAGTTAAGACCGCGGAAATCAACTGCATTAAGGTCGTCATAATCTCATAGATATAAAATGGTAGTTTTTTTATATGGTCAATAATAGTTTCATAGATTTATGTAAGGTCAACGCTACAATTTAGATCAGTTTTAGAATCAATGAATAATATAATAGTGCAAACGGAATTGTCTATGAAATTTGTCATTAATGATACGGACGATTGATGTATATATAGTATAAAATAGCTATTAATTATTAACTCATATCTTCTATTCATATCTAAACTACTTAGCGACAAAATGTAAATAAGTGACCCTGGTCACTATGCAATAACACTAAATTAATTAGTTTAATAGTTCAGTAGTTTTCATTAGGGCCTAGATAAAATTGTCAAGCATCATTCTTCTTATATCTCATATATTGTTTTGTATATAGGTATATTCTCGACTTATAGTATTTGATAATTCTATTTTTATTTAGATCACAACTATTTGAAATTGATAGTATTCTCTTACGCAATTATACGAAGATATTCCAAATTTTTAAAAACCTGTAACTCAATCATGTAAATAAAACAAAAAAAAATATTTCAAACAGATTTCAGCAATCGTTTTAATAATAAAAGTAACCTAGGTAAAATTCACACAGCGCCATCTAGCGCTAAGCTAGAGAGATTATGTTATGAGTATTAGATAACTGATACAAGTACTTAGGTACATTTTTTATAAGTACATATCAATCATTAACACGTATTTGAATCGGTAGTAAATAAATAAACATGTTAGCACAAACCTTAAAATAGGCTTATCTAGCATCTCTTAGTACATAGTTACATAGTAGAAATTCGAGCAAATATACAAGCTCTGCTTAATTTTGGACTGTGTAATTTGTCTTTGGTTCTTATTGTTATAAGTATCGAATTATGGATATTTTAGTTTAGTCTCTTGTACCGCCTTAATTTCAGAATTATAGACTCTTCAATTTACTAGCGTTCTTTTTCAGTATTACAAAACATATTTAGATATACAATGTTTTAATAAGGACGATGGGAAAAAATATTTATACAAGAAACTTGACGTTCCTAAGCAGCTAAAATGGCCTACATGAATAAATAATTTTTGGTATGATTTGATATATATTTTTACATTCTTGTTTGCTACAAAAATATAATTACTAATGACTAATTAAAATACTTTGCATCGTTTGGAAAAAGCTTATCTGTGGACAAAGTAAGCAAAAATTGTAATAAACGTGAAGAGCGACTTTGTTTTATACAATTTGAAGGGAGATCTAGCCCATCGAGATTTCACAACAGATAAATTTAGATAGATACAAACAACCTTAACCTATATCTCTGGAATTTGTTGCATTTTTATAAAGCATACTTGAGATAATTAATTGACAGTCTACAGTCAATATGTTGTTGTTATATAATGAAAGTGAATATTGTCTTTCGTTACGATGAAATGTATTGAGTTGATTACAAACTTTGATTGTCGATTTATATATTTACATCATGTAGCAAATTATAAAATTCTATACGCGATACTTTAGTGTATTTCTTTCGAAATACATTTATTCATCAACATAATAAATTAGTTTATTGAATAAAATTTTGCTAAATTTGTATTCCTAATTACAATTCTATTAAAAACATTATCCACAATCTAAAAACAAACTCAGTAAATTTTTTTATTTTCGATTTCTGGTAAATAAGGATTTTATTTTTAATTTTACAACGCCCATTATTTCTTATTTTGCGATACTACTTATGATTTTTTGTTGTTGGTTGTACCTATATTTCAGTGTATTTTGTCACATCCATTTTATTATATATATATTCATTGGTATGAAATATCCTAGTGATGAAAGGCAAAGTCCAATAAATCTGTCTTGTCATTACCAGACAGATTTATAAGAAAAAATATCAAATTGGTTCCGTTTTATAATTAAAACCTATATGTTAATTTTAGATTTTATACAGGTATTTTCAACGCACAATCCTTACTAAGTAAAAATAAAACATACCTACTGATTGAAGAGCTAAAATTTGAAACATATATAGAGAATAAAAAATATATAGAGTTATTGTATATAGTTAGGAATGAAAGAAAGGATTTTCGTAAATTATCATTTCTTACGTAAATTAATTTAATAAATGCATACATTTTTTACAGGTGTACTTTATCTAACAGTGGAAAGATATGGTTGACTCGAGCACGGAACAAGCAACGTGATCGCGCCCAAACGTGAGTGCGTAACGTACTATTTCAGTGGAGTATACAAAACTATCTACACACTGTCTCATACTGCGACGTTCACGGACACAGCCGCAAACAAACAAAGCGCAGCAGTGCGGTGACCATGAAACTGTTTATTTTATATATACCTACGTATATTTCGAGGTCAAGCAGAATATGTGGCCATTTAAAAAATAATTTATTCTAACAACTTGATTTTTATCGAAAATGTTACGTTCTACGTCAGTCATTACAACATTAGATCATGCAGCGCCATCTATTGCCACAGACTGATATTATTATGCAATCATCTAATCATTTTAGGATTTCTAACAGATAACGAAACCCTTATGATAAATTGGGCCATCGGTCTGCCATAGTGTCGTTTTTTTTTTCTCCTCCTCCATGTTTAGCGTTGCATTGCATTTAACCATTATATTTCAGAAATGAATTATTTTTTTAAATGTAGAATATTTTTAGGTTTAGGTTTTGTTAGCAAAGCACGGGATTAGTTCCACCATTACTAATTTGTTAGATCGACTGTAAAATCTGTAATTAATTTCTGGTAAATTAACTGAACCGCGGCTCAAAATGCGAAGAATTACTCATTTGTTAGGAAGACTGTAAAACATTAAATAAATTTCTGCTGAATTCACTAAACCCCGGTTCAATTAGACGGCCTGAGCCGAGGTTTGAACACCTAGGTAGCCCTCACACTATAGTCGCATCCGTCAGGCAGGAGTTGGTCCTTAGCCGCAACTTATATCCTTCGACGGATTTGAAGTGCCATCTGCTTTCGCCCCCTATCGTTTGGGAAAGTTGTACGGCCAGTTGCCGCTAATAGGAATAGAATAGTTCAAAAAAAGAATACGATGTGCTAAACGATGTAATTTTATATTCAGTCTATCATCTTACACTGATGCCCAGTTAGCGCAGGCGGATGCACCATTTTACTATCATCCATTAATATAACTCTAAGATATTATTTTTGACAAAAATATACTACATAGGTAGTATGAAATCAACAATGGCCTAATCAAATATGAAGTATTTACAAGCTATAAGCCTGTTTAATGCGTTTCAACCAGAAAGGCGAAATGGCCTATCTCCAGTTTTTAGCGCATATAAACCTATTTAGCCTATAACCTAGTATTCCTTTTAGAATTAACAAGTTGCCAAAGAAAAACTATAAATTCGAGTCGCCATCTGTATTTCAATTCCGAAAACAATAATGCTCGAATGGTAAACATATACCTACTGGTAAATATGTAGACAGCAGTATAATAGGTCTGGTGTTTACTGTAATTTTTAATGGCATATTCTTTCTGTGATTATATGTGTCGTATAAAACAATTAAATTTAAACTTTTTTTAATTTAAGAGTACAATATTCTTTCTATTATATTTCAACATGAGTTTATTGACAGCCAATTGTTCAAACTACTCTTTTCTATGTATTGAATGTAAAATTATGTATTAATTTTCCGAAACTTTTGAAGCATTTCAAAAATTATTTTAACATTAATATGAAATCACATAATATACGTAATATATTTTATTCAAATATTAAATAATAAATCAATAACGATAATCCCTAAAAAATATATAAATATTATATAAAAATATTCTAACTATTCTTCATCTTTTGAAGTTTAAAAATTCATTTAATATACGTTCAAATAACAAAGAAAGTAAAAAATACTTATGAAAATAATAATATTCTAGAAAGAAGGGACTTAGAAAGAATTAGAAAGAAGGAATGTGTGCGTGTGTGAGTCAATACATATTTTGGAATTTCTTGTCTCTTAAATACCCATGTGAAGCCAAGGCGGGCTGCTAGTGATATAGGCCACATTTAGTTATAGGCCACGATACTAGAGGGCGCAAATACCAAGAAATAATTTTGTATAAAAATTAAGCATAGTTCTTTCTCTTTTTTTTTAATTGTTTTACGGCTTTTGATATAACTTTTTTTGAGTCCACTTTTCAGTGTTGAACCAACACGAGAACTGTGTTTGAAATTACTTTGTTTCAAAATGCAATAATTAAAATGGCAAATATGTTAAACGCCGAAATATACCATAATTTGTACAGATTAGCTATTTATAACAATGGCAACACTAAGAACATTAATTAAAGAGCAACCCTTAAAATTGACGTTTTGTGACTTACGACGTAAAATTTGAGACCATCCATTTCTATCAAGAAGATATAGAAAGCAATTTTGTTGCGTATTCTAAAAGTGACCAAAATGACTTCTGTTGTGAGGGCTGGGCACTTGGCTCCGTACTTTAAAGCTACCACGCAAGTGGTCTCCAATGGGTTAAAACCCGCCGTGGTTGTCGTAACACCTGTCGATAAATTAGTTGTACAACCTCTACCTAAAACTTCGACTGTCCAGTCCTTGCATGGAGCCCTTCCTATCCAGGGTCTGAAGGTCAAGTCTAGTAATGCAAGTGAGTGTCTATTTAGTAAAACATTTGCGATGCCATTTTGGTTCCAGACATTTGTTACATAACATTGTCATTTCAGTCCCAGTGCAAGTACGATTTGCGCATTCTGATATTTCGTATCCTGACTTCACTGCATACCGCCGCAAGGAGACCCAGGACCCTACGTCGAAAGCAAGCGAGACCCTCGATGAACGGCAATCGTTTACCTATCTTATTGCTGGAGGTTAGTTATCAATTTAGTTTGAATTATTTTATGTGTTCAGATTCTGCATAAAAATTTCTATGGAAACATTAAAAAAAGGAGATATGTATGTAAACTTAAATATGACAATGCTGTTCCTTTAAAGTCTTAAATTCTACTCACTAAAGTATGGTACAAGGTTTAGTTTGATTTCTTATTGTAATTTGATGTATATATTTAGTTAGATTACCTACAGGAATATATTTGTTTAGTAAATTTTACTGAAGAGCTTAAATAGGCCTACTCGGAGCCCCCATATCTTTAGAAATGTAGATAAATAGTTGGGAAAGTATATTAACAAATTTGATGAACAATTTTATAGGTTACTTAAGTTTTCTGAAAAATAAAAAAAAATTCCTTATCAAATGTGTGAAGCAACAGACATATGAAGACAATTGTAAAAGAGCCTAAATATAAAACATACTAAATATCAATTATGTATAGCTACTACAGTTATTACTACTAAATAGCTGAATTTTGACTGAAGTAATATCTATATTCTGCAGTGCCTTCAATGTCATTGAATATCTAGTTTCTGTATTAGTTTAGGAACAGTTTTTACACTCAATATTATTTTACTTGTCTGTCAATTAAATCTATTACTATAAGGTTGTCTTGAAAAATTTGCTTTTGGTAATATAGCTGCTTTATCATTTTTAAGCAATAAGGACCCTTTATTACTAAAAGAAAATATTTATACAAATCAATATGTGTATAAGTGCTAACACTTTGATGACCTGTGATGAGTCAACTCATTATTATTCTTGTATTTTTTATTTCATTATCATATCTGACTATTTGACTATGGAGTAGTCAAATTCATAATCAGATAGTTCATTTTGAACATTTTTACTTCCATATTAAATTATAATAGTTAGTGAGAATGAAATAGTTTCTGTGTAAAACTAGTCTGTCAACAATTATTTAATTGTCTAAATGTATATGACATTATATTCATTTATTTATATCTATTCTATGTATTATTTATAAAACAAATAGATATAAAAATATTTCTATTAGTTGTTTAATGTTCATAGTACTAGCTCTGCTTAGTTTGGGACTAGATAATATTTTGTTGATTGTCGTCGGTCATTATTATCATTATCAAATAATATTGTAAATCTTATATATCACAAGGGTCTTATAATCTGAGGCATTCAATGATATCGTTTTTGTGGATATTCTTACATCTTTCTACATTAGTAGAAGAAGTTTTAACCTTAACCTTCAAAATTATATTTTTATTTAAAACTAATTATTTATTACATTACAATCAAAACACCATAATATTTAGACAGGATAATAATATGCTACTTATATTTTAAAGTTATTTTTAATATTGTGAAGGAATGCATGATTTCAAAGTATAATTATAAATGTAATAACACTTATTGTAATGTTAATAAATAATTTTCCAGCGGGAAGCTTTGCTGGTGCCTATGCAGCAAAATCTGTGGTTACCCAGTTCATTTCATCCATGGCTGCAGCGGCTGATGTCTTGGCCTTAGCTAAGATTGAAATCAAAATGGCTGAAATCCCTGAAGGCAAGTCTGTCACCTTCAAATGGCGTGGAAAACCACTGTTCATTCGCCACAGGTAAGGATTTGTATTAAACTATTTTCTTTATTAAGAAGTAGCTGAGCATGCTATTTCAGCACACTACATTTTTCTACATGTACAGTTTACTACAATTTTCATTGCAGTTCTGATCATATTGGTCATAGTGATGTCATCATAATATTATATACCTTATACCCTTACTTGATAAATGAAGAGTTTTACAAAATTGGATTAATAGATCATTTGGAACATCAAAACCTATCTTTACTTTCTTATAATATTAAAGAAAAACAGATAATAAATAGTTATCATAATTATTCTTATTCAGCAAATACAGTATGAGTATATAAATTACTTCTAAAATAAGTACTATTTTAGAAGATGAAGAAACAATTACTGCTAAATATTTTATTTTAGACCTATATAATATTAGTATAAATTCATACAAATGTTATAATTACGAAGGACTGGCTATCTGTTTGGTTTCTTGATGTAATTAGAATGGCAAACAAGCTGACAACTCACCTGATGGTAAGTGCTCACTGTCGCCTGTATATAAGAACAGACATTATGTTAATATGTCATATAACACCCGTAATACCTCCATTGCAATGGCAATCAATGGCATTACCATTGCAATTACATTAAAAAACATATCTAAAATGGGTTTTAACCTATTCTATGGTATAATAAGCAAGATTGTTCAAACAGTTAGTAGTTAGATCCTCTGTCCCACTCCAACGGGCATGGAATTTGCGATAGCTTGAGCCGATCTTAGAACCCCCTAGTGCCCCAGACTAAAATCGTATGTCAAGCAAACAAATTCCTATAGCCGCTCCATTTAATGCCTTGTTACATCTTATATATGAATCTCAATTTGATAAACAAATCAATATTACAGAACACCAAGCGAGATCGCAACAGAGCAGGCAGTGCCCGTCGACTCGCTCCGTGACCCGCAGCATGATGACCAACGCACACAGGATCCCAAGTGGTTGGTCGTTATTGGCGTGTGCACACATCTGGGCTGCGTGCCCGTCGCCAACGCCGGTGACTTCGGCGGCTACTACTGCCCTTGCCACGGCTCTCACTACGACGCGTCTGGTCGCATCCGCAAAGGTCCCGCGCCCCTAAACCTGGAGGTCCCGCCGCATACATTTACCGATGACCTCCTAGTTGTAGGCTAAACGAAGCTTGTTATTTATTAGAAAATTTATTTATCATTAAGTATACACATCCATATGTACATCAATAGAAACCAATAAATGTGATACAATTTAAATTATCATCTCATTTTTTTCGTTACCTGTTATCCGATTTTTGAGTGGAAATACATTATTTGAAGCAATGTATACATTTTTTTCTCTAAATATTTAACTAAACCCTATGTACTCAATTATACATAGTAAGTTCTCGAGTTCTGGGTTCAGATGGGGCTCTAAAGGGTAAATTTTTGGTGTTTAAAACACCTAAAATTTACCCTTTAGAGCCCCATCTAAGGCCTTTTTATTACATTTTTTTATACATGTAAGGCCTTTATTTACATATGTAAGGCCTTTTTATTACATTTTTTTAACTATTGTACTGCTGTTGGCCGCGGCTGGCCTGAATAAAATTACTGCAGAAAATGGGGGCTGCACTCGCAGAGTGGACTGCAAACCTGCGGTAGTACTTTAGATCGGCTAATTCTTTCCTGACGAATACAACTTCAGTATAATTGCACCGCTAGGGGTTCGAACCTCGACTCAGGTCAAAATTTTGATCCAAGTTTGAATAGGATAAGAGTTTATTTTGAAATGTCTAATTACTTTTTAGTTTCAAATAGAGTCGAGTAAATGCCAAATTAAATTAATCGTTATCACAGCTTAAGTAATCTTTATGATATTTATCATAAATGTACATTACGATGGCATTTAAGTTTGAGAAAATATGGGTCTATAATAGTCACGCTATATAAGTTAGTTTTATACTTCGAAGTACCTGTTTTACGTGACTTTTTTGTATGCAAAAGATAGCCATTTTTTTTATGTCAATAGAATAGGATACAATCTATATACACGCTGAATCAATAAGATCGTTCAGTCATTATTCGTAAAAACGTAACAAACAGACCGACAGACACAGTTTCGAATTTATATCAGCACAGAATGGGGAAGGGGATTGTGGAATAATAACTCCTTTGCTAGCAACCTGACATGGTACACTGTCAGATTAACATTCACGCGGTTAGCCCTGGAAACCGTCATGATAAATTCCAGGTGAATTTGCCACAATGGGCTATCTGACCTGACCTCATATTCATTTTATCATCCTACAGTGCATCGCCAGCGTATACCGTTAGCGTAGTCCAGTGCAACATTGAATTATCATCCATTAGAAAACATTAGTACAGACTTAAATATATGTCGCCAAAAAATAAAACTATTTGAAAACGATTTATAATTATTTTATTTTTGTTATTATTTTTATGTATGTTTATTTATTTTAGACAGTTACAATCTACATATAGTACTACCATGTGTATAAGTTACAACGATGCGCCTGCACAGTTAAGCAAATACTCACATTAATTTCGCAATCAATAACCTAATACTCGCAATAGGGTTGTAACCATTTGCTAATATTCATTCGAACATTTTTTCACACGAGTAAATACAACTGACGTCACAGTGTTGTTTTACTTTCAACCATATATCAATTTTATAATTATTTCACAGTATTTTAGATTTTAATACACTTTTCCTGCGCAAACGACATTTATCGATGCAACTTATTACCGTGGATGAACTTGTAACATCTAATATAGACTACTCAAATTTACACACATTTACAAGAAGATATAACTGGGTATTGATATTACTTACAATATAATTCTTTTATTAATTTTGAATAAATAATTAGGTACAATAAATGCCGCGAACAATCACAATTTATATTATGAAGTCGATAATTTACGTTTAAAAATCAAAATTTTAGGCCTGATTCATTTACAAATGCAATTATAAATATAACTAAACTATTACAATAATAAGTGTTTTTGTACCTATTGCGATGTTAGAACTTATAAGCAACAACGATTAGTCCCTTTGTTCATAAAAACAAAATCTCGTATCAATCTATTTTATTTAAACATATCAAGTGTTTTATCACTTTCTTTCAAATTAGGAATATAACTAGAATGAAAAGAGACAAAACAATTTGATACTAGATTAGTCGTTTTTATGAATAAAAGGGTGAGTAACGGAAGGAATAAAAGCATCAGAAATAATCATCACCCTATAAAATGCTGTAAATTACCACAAACTTTCGAAGAATCTTATAACTAAGTGAATAATTGATTTCATGAAAATGAATCTAAGTAGATATATTTACAAGTTGACATGGTAAGGTGTTTTAATTATATTTGGCAAAATAATTTAGTTACAACTAAGTACATGATTAGTACGAACGAAAGATAATGTAGATGTATTACAATCAAATTATACGAATATGTACATGTAATCTTTAAAGTTGATCATTACTTGATCACTTCAAAATATATTATCCAATGTTGCAGAAAAATACTATTTATACTATAAGGCCTTTAGGCTAAAGAAAGAAAAAAAAATGGCAAAGTTATAAATACACTATGTTATTACATTATATGTTGTTCTTTATACATGTTCTAAGGTAAAAGCACTAATGCCCGACACTGAACTAAAAGATGACACTTTCGAAAAAAATCTTTTCTATTAAGAAAACTAATCATTTAAGTAACACCACTACTGGTATTAAAGATAGCTAGGGTCATTTATGATACGTGGTCAAAAGCTTGCATACATTGTCAAGCACATTTCAAAACGGCGTCAATTGACAACAAACAATATGAGCAGGTTGATAATAAGTGCGTAATTCTTAGCGTTTTTCTTAAGGCGATTGACTTTTAATACGTATGATTTTGTCTTATATATATGTGATTATTGGCTATTGTTGGTTTCGATATTATAAATGTATGAAATTATTGATCTATTAGAACTATTTCCTTGTTGTTTTGGCTTGTTTTTTTATGAATTTGAAGTGGTGTTTACTATTAGTACCACAAATCAAACAAAACCTAAAAGATGACATGTGTGTCTTCAATTAGGGTTACATCGAACTGATTTTGTTAGCTTATTTTAATGCAAATTTAGCCTTTACGTTTTAAAACTAATGTTTATATCTGAGTTTCGTTTATTTTACACTATTCTAACTATAAGTAGACAGTGTCAACTATTAGGGTATACTAGGTGTCAACTATTAGGTATCCATTGATTTCAAATTAAAGTTCGAGTACAATGCCTCCAGTAAAGGGTCTGATGTTTCGATACTCCGAAGAAAATATGGAAGCAGCTATATAAGAATGCAGGCGGGACGTTCCGACAGCGGAGAAGAAATTCGGAGTCCCCGAGTAACTTTGATAAACAAAGTCAAGGGAAAGACCAATTAGACGTAAAATGGGAAGAAGGTGTTACGTGACCGAAGCGGTGAAAAAATACTCGTAACATGGGCAAAAGCTATGGTCAAACAAGGGTTCCCAATACGAAAAGATAATTTACAACATAGTGCTAAGAAAATAGTTCAAGACCTTAAGATAGTAAGATAGAATCCAAGAACGGTAGACCAGGGAAGAGATGGTACAACAGCTGTTTAAAGCGTCACCCTGACCTTATAACAAGGTAAATTTAACAGCCTCCAGAGCATCTGTAATGATATCTCAAATAAAAAATTGGTTTCAAGAAATTGGCACTTACTTAAACAGTAATATTCATACAGATATTCTTAATGCACCTCAGCGAGTTTATAACATGGACGAGACTACTTTCTTCGTGAACCCCAAAGGAATAAGGTAGTATCAATAGTTTAGATTTGAATAGTTTAAAGTACTTAATATCATCATCATCATCATCCCAGCCTGCAAGACATCCATTCTGGGCAAAGGCCTCCCCCAAAATGCCAAAATCTAATTACTTTTGACAAGCAATATGGCTAAATATTGATTTTCTGACAATTATATTTTTATGTTATTTGATTTGATTATATTTTGTTGCTAATTTAATAATTTTAAAGCACAGGCTGTGCTCCGTATTCATTTTAAAGTATTTTTATTGATTTGTTTTGATGAAACACATAATATTAGAGTGATCTTATATATGTCTACTATTAGTTCCAATTGATGTCTATTTTTGGTGGATTTGATTTTTGATGCTGTCATCTTTTAGTGTCTACGACAAACCTAAGAAGAATATTATTCTTAGTTAAAAATATGTTAGTTTTAAAACATCTTACATGAAAAAGTTAATTTGTAAAAGTTGCTCTAACAGTAAAAAAAATTGTAACTGTAGTTTTTTGATAAATACATTTGTATTTTTGAGAATGAAGTTTGGTTTGTCCTTAATGTGTCTAGCATTAGTGCTTTTACCTTAATAGAAAACTATTGTATCACTTACCATCTCACTTTCACAATCTCATAAGAGTTTTATTGGCTGATTAACAATTTTGATTGGTGCACAATTATAGTGCAACTACACGCAAATAAAAAAAATATAGTGAAACTGATTGGCATAATCTTCATACGTATGGCACTAGGAACCTAATTGTAAAATGAACTGCAAAGTAATACGAGAAGTGAAGATGACTGGCCTACTTGAGAGGACAAAACGTGCGTTTACCTTAAATTATTTTTAAAGAGCTTATTGTCTATGAATAGGTATTTATTTGGAAGGGGAGGCTGGCAAAGTGCTCGAATGCTCATGCTTGATAATTTTATATAAAATCTAAGGTCCATCCTCATTTAATTAATCTGTTTAGGCTGTTTGTTAATATAGTGAAGATAAATGATTAAAATTATAAATTGTCAAATTATAAATTGTTAAAATTATAACTTTATGAACACTACCTTAGGCATTATTTAAGTGGGGATGAACTATGAGTTTTATCAACATTTATTAATAAATATCTTTTTCTCTTTTACAATAACAATAATAGCACATCATAGTTTCTGAACACAGATTAATTTCATTCACATTGAAATTGTAGACATATTATATTCTATCTATCGGAAAAATATATATAAATACATCTATTACAATAAGTGACAAAATATTTAGGAATTTCTTGGAATATATCATTAATTTACATACAATAATATAATGTATCTCTGATAATTAATATTTTGTTTAATGTTATGAAAATGGTTTGTGCAATAAACAAGTTTATTTGTCTGTCAAAATGGTCATAGACTACTGTCAAAATTTGAAAAGGTTGTTCTACTTTAAGTTAGGGCTTTGGTGAACTGTGCCTCTACGTAATAATTGTGGTACCCATATCAAATCTTTAATAAAATTTCTAAATAGTTAGCAATATTTTTTCTAATAATTATATAAGATTTACTATTAAATAGATATTTATTCAATATGTGTACCGCAATTTTTTTACTAACATAATTAAGGCATTCCCATAAGCGATATTGTTGCAACCACACCGCATTAATACAATTCGTAAATTATAATTGAATATTCTTTTTATGTGAAGTAGAAATTTTTTAATGAAATTATGCAGCATTATTGAAATATAATTCTTTTTACATCTAAATACAAAATTTATCTAATTCGGATAATATCTATAAAAAGATTTTCAGCCGGTAATACTATACTTATTTTAGGAATATATAGATACTTACTATAATTAATTATTGTTTTGTATTCACAATATAATAGGAACGTGGTGGCGACGTCATTTTCGCTTATGGGAGTGCCTTAGGGATCATGCACACTATGAAGACTATTAAATTCATATTTGGAAGTGTTAACTGCGTTCACATCACTCATATTCGAGTTATTAATTATTATCATCACATGAACCTGTTTATTTTTAATCGGGTATAGAGGTAATTAAAGGCACTTGCGTTGTACAATCACGTGTATCAGTCTAGTGTGCAGGATCCCTAGAGGCCCCAGCACTACCCATATGGTCCACCAAATGAACAAAACAGAGACTACACAACCTCGGAAGCTCTTTAATTCATTAATTACTGATTAATGAGTCGATATATCGCACACATAATAATATTGTATTAACAAAAGAAACAAAAATTGGAAAATCGACATTAAAGTAGATTTACTAAAATGATTTCTTTATTATTATGTGTAGGATTGTACATAAGGTACAGTAAATATATTTCAGATCTATTTCTCTATATTAGGGCAATAAATTATCTGGGCCCATAACCTATACAAATGTAAAGTTTATATATGTGTATATTGTAAAATTGTTGTAGATACGTATTCTAAAACATACGCACTAAATTGAACTGAGTAATAAAGTGATACGATTTCTTTTGCAACAGTTAATTTTGAGTAATTATTCGTAATAATTGTGTCAAAATAAATATTAATTTTTAATGTTATTTATAATTATGGCAAGAATTGGCTTTAAGACACCAAATCTAGAAATTAAAATATTTACATTAATTTGTCATATTTTTAATTATTGTTAAATTTTAAATTGATATTGAATGTAATGTTTGTTATTATTAAATTTATTATTATTAATTTAATAGGAAAAATAATTAATTTAAAATGTCTTCATTTTAATACCATTAAATTATAAAAAGTAATTTTTAAGTACCCAGATAATTTTCAATACGCCCTATGTTGTGTGGTAAGGCGAGCCGAATAATGTCCGTTACAGATTGCCAGAAAAGCGTCGAACTGCACAGGAAATACTTTCATAATAGCATCTGTATATTGTCTAATATATATTTAGATTAATAATATAATTTTGATATATTAAGGAAATGTCAGTTATTGATATAGAAATATATTATAGATATCAGATTATTACTAATTTGTAGTCAGAATATAGATTTTTATTTTTTAACACGTTGACGGACAATTGCGGCTATAGCCGTCAAAGCGAAGTTCACAATGTGGCATGACTGCTATAGCCGTCCAAAACGAAACGGTCGTTTTTAGACACTACGACTGTAGCAGCACAAATGTGCACTTACTGGCGTATACGCATAAGCATAGTGAAGCATAGTGTCGTGTTTTGAAAACATCTTTTTAGGTTGAAGTATTGCAGATTCATTATGGACGTGGTTGTGAAGGGAGTAGTGCGATCGATTTATTATTATTTATATAACTATACTGGTATGTATTTGTTTATTATTCATTTTATACTTTAAACAGAAATAAAAAAACAAAATTTAGCATTTTAGGTTAGGTTAACGATACTATAGGTTATACTGTTTACTTTTTTTTTTGGTTTTACATTTGAAATATAAATAAATAATGATAATGTAAATGATAAATATATATTATATATATAATATAATATATAATATATAAGTTTATTTAAGCAGAAAGAGTAAAACTATACTTCTAACATTCTAAAAATCACAAAAACATATAGTGTCAATTTTCGAACTTCGCTTGTTCCTACTGTCCGTCAACGTGTTAATTTGGTGCAATGTAGATGATTCTGCTTAATATCAAGGTGACAGTTCGTCGCTCTTCCTCTTGCACCGGCAAACAACTTGAGCATTTTGATACTACCTGCGCAGTAAGAATTATACGTAGTAAATCGTCACGCAAGCTTCGTCTATGAAGAATAACTAATGCAATAGAAACCAGTCAAAAATAGCAATTAAACAATATTTCTTCTTTGCTTAGTGTAAAAATAACAACTTTCGTAATTTCGAATTGCTAATTATATTTTCGATCTCTTCTAACATAATAGTTACTCCATAAGTTAAAAAGTGACAAATATATTAAGTTCAATTGCTATTTAAGTCTTATTTCTATTGCTTTACTTATCATTCTTAGGTCCAAGTAGTTTGCCGCAAACTGTAGCGGTGAGTACAATTTTGATACCACGTGACCTGCGCAGTAAGAATTTTACTTCTAAAAGCCGTGACTGCGCAGGCTTTGTCTATGGTTTTATTGTCCGGGCGTCTAGCAGTCGGCGGTGTAGACGGGCGCGAGGTCGAGCGTGAGATGGCGGAGGGCGCGGTCTCTGGATGCTGAGCGAGAGGCGCGGGATGACTTGATGATTTGCAGCACCATGGCCTTGCAGTCGTGGCATACCGCCATTTGTACGCCGCGTAGACGTTCCGCCGCCGTCGATGCCACGCGCCCGTACCGAGCCCTGTGTGTATACGTTATAATCGTTACAATTTAACTCCAGTTCAGACAAATATATTCAGATCTTTACATTTTTTTGTAACATTTCTTGAAAAATTTTTCAGTATTTTATCGCATATATAAAATACTTAAATATGCAATTCACTGGATATATATCGATATAGATACTTTTTAGATAAATAGATCTATCTACCTATCTATAAATAGATTTTGACGGCATCGTTGTCTAGTGGTTTAGCACACCGCTTTACTTCCGATGGTCTCGGGTTGGATTCTTCGCATGGCACAAAAAATTATATTCTTGAGAAAAACTTTTGTATCGGTCTGGGTGTTTTCTATGTATATACGGAAAAAAGATATATATGTATTTGTATCAGTTATCTAGTACCAATAACACAAGCTTTAGCTAGCTTAACACTAAATGGCGCTGCGTGAATTGTCCTAAGATTATTATATTAGTAATTATACTAATATAATCTATATATATATAGCCTATCTATCTATAAGAGCTACATGCCTGCGGTCGAGCGTGGCAGGCGGAGTGGCGAGCGGCCCGAATGCGGGCATGGAGTCGGGCCCGTCCACGCTGCGCGACATGGCGGCCGGCGGCACCGACAGCTCGCTGAAGCCCAGCGCGGAGCCCCCGCGGGAGCCCGGCGCACTCCGGGCTGCGCCCCCCGCACCGGCAGCGCCGCGCCGCGCTGCGGCCGGGCTGCTCGGCGCGCTGCCCACGCTGTTCTCTACCATGCTCTGTCACCGACACACACCAGGGAAATTACAAATGCATTTCCAGGAATTTAAAGAAGGAATAAGCTCTATTCTTGAAGGCTTGAACTTTTGATCCGGCTCCAGAAGGACTAAATCTCAAGACTTAAGCAATGTTTTCACTACAATAAGGCGGTGTAGATACAATACTCACGGCGTGTTCGGGCGAAACGAGCCTGGCCATGAGACTCCTGGGGAAGGAGGAGTGCGGCTCGTCGTCCGGCGACGGCAGCAGCGACGGACTCAGCAGCACCACCGGCACGTGTGCGAAGTGCTCCGTCGGAATCCGCATCTGAAGACACAAAGTCATGATCACCATCTTACACGTTTCAGTATTCCGCTTATTATATCATCCGCTTCTAAATCCGTGTGTGAATGAATTAACACTTAATTGACAACTCATGACTGTAAAAGTTTTAGGGTCCAGGATTGAACTCGCAACCATCTGAAGTGAGGTATTTACTGAACCGACCAAATAGGTATAATAAAGAGATGGATACATAAAATTAAAATAAATAAAATTTTGGACTTACCTTTGAACAACACTTTTGACAGACAGTCTTTTTGCACAACTTGCACTTCTGCCCCCATGGGCCGAATATACCAAATCTAGTTTTCAAACATAGGAAGCAAACCTGTAACAAAATAAATAATTGTTTAACTCAGTTATTTTATTTTAGATATCTCGCAACCTTAATTTCACATATACTTAATATATGGGAAATTAAGGTTTCCAAATCAAAGTTTATTCAAATTCTTGAACATTCTATGAAATGTATTCTCATAAATATTATACCTAACATCCAGTTCGGCTACTTTATTTAAGAAGAACTGGCAAGAAATTCATTAGAACACTTTTTAATTGAAACCTATTTAGAAGGAAGTACATATATATTTTTTTTATTAAAGACATATAAACAATATTTTGTATTATTTTAAACTAAATTTACTTACTCTTCTTTTCTCAACATCTTCTTTTACTCTGCCCTCTACTGGGAGTACTTCTAACTCTGCCTTCGTCAGGACAGACCTGATATGTACGATCTCCTCCAGGGTGAGAGACAGCCGATCATCTGACATTATGGCATCCTGCCATTGTTTCTGAAATTCAGACGACACTAATTAGCACATAGTTTACAATGGGGTTGCCAACCGTACGAAGATCCTCGTACAAATACAAAATTGTTGACCTTCGGTACGAGAATATTTTCAGTCTCGTACATGTTTGTACGAAATTTTGACCTACGAAGATCTATTATATTACTATGGTGTACGATATGAAGTCTTGAGAGATGTACGAGATTTTATCATATTTTTTTATTTTGCACGAGGCTGTGTTACAAGGTTAGCAACACTGATTGACAATTTTCGGTTTACCTACTGACTTTAAAGCATGCTGATTTTCTAAGGCTCTACTTACTTTTGTCAAGCTGAGTAAGCGTTATTCAAAATAATTTATTGAAGCAACTTACCTACTTTAAAAAAGACATATTTAACTAGTAGTACTTATATTCAAATATATGTATTTCTATTGCGTTTCCAAACAATTCTAATAATTCCAAACAATTAACTGAACTAAAATACTATACATGCTATATAAGTGCAAGCAAAAAGAAGTAAAAAACTGACTAAAGTATATTAATTAGATATAAATACTGGCACATAATTTAAGCATCATTTTAAACTATTCCCTGTTCCAATAGAACTTGCATAAACAGTAAACAAAAGAGTCATGGAATCTTTAGGGATTTAATAATAGGTATATCACCACTTTTAGTAACTTCGTCAATCACATCGACGTGTTTATTATGACGTATAATTTTAGATTGGTAAAACGTAATATTCAATACAATTATTGATTTATGGTTGGTAATGCATTTGCATGACTAGACAGTCTATGGTCGTGTTAGTGGCCACTATGTTCACATTTTTCACAAGATCTATTACAACAGCGTACAGTAAAATCTACTACAAAATCAACTTCGTAAGCATTTCTTCTGTGCTTCTATTTACGTTGATTAATGTATACGGTTACTAAAATACTGTCCTTAGCTATCCTCCATTGTAGATTTCTCAGTAGCAACAGTAATCTACTTACATGCGAAGCGTGGTTAGGGCAACCACTAACCGACTTGATGAGTTCGTCTTGCAGCGAACTCCGAGACCAGGACAGCTCCCCGAGCTGTGCGTCCGCGTCGCTGCTCGCCAGCGAAGCTGCGCCGGCGCAGGACGCGCGGGAACCAGGCCTGGACAATCAATATGCTTATTATCCAAAGTTTGATATATGTGGTCTAGCGGTTTAGCATACCGCTTTTTACTTTCGAGGGCCCGGGTTCAATTCCTTTGAATTGAATTGCCGAAATCACAAAACCCTGCTGAAAGCCTTTAAAAAATTTTAAACGGTTCGATGTTACGTCTGCCGCAGTAACCGTGCCGTATCCGGACTCGTATCAATTGCGAATAATAAGATTTCAGATTTATTTATTAGCTATGTAAAACAGGTTACATTTAGCTCGTCAGTTACAAAAGTATAATTCAATACTAAACATTAATATTGATTATTAAGATAAATTTAAATTTAATTTTGTCCTGTATTCATTGTTGTGATAATATGGATTATTATAAAAATATGACTTTATAATTCCTCTGAATTTTAAATATAGTTAAAAAAATTAAATAATCGATATTAGGTTTGGACCCCGGTCTCCTTGAGCACTTCCCACAGCTTTCCATATTTCACACGATCTAAATCCTTCTGGAAGTCAACGAAACACATAAACGTCGAAGAATTAAATTCATAACATTTTTCTACCAGAAATCGTAGATTCAATATGCACTCTTTGGTTCCCCTCCAGTCGTGTTCTGAGATATTATTACATTATTGTAAACAGTGTCATTTTTGTTACAAGTATAACAATTACCTGGAATGTGGCAATGAATGAGCGCCATCGGTGGGTGGACACGTGGGGTGGGTGACAGTATGCCGTCGCATGGAGGCTCTCCGCGATGGACACTGTGTGGCCAGGTCGTATGCTGTAATATTACAATACCATTATACAAACTGAATTATACATTTATTAATTTACAACAATGTTATCAACACCTGTGGAGTATTTTAAATATCTAAACTTTGTTAGAACAGAAGGATCACGACGTAGCTCTCAAAGTATGTCACAAAAGTGTTGGAGTGGTCGTGTACCGGTCGACGGCGTGTCGGAATAGAGAATAGAATTTATTTTTACTATTATATAAAGAGTAAAGAATTCATAATTTGTATGTTTGTACTGAATACATTTAAAATGCTACATTTTCAACTAATAACATAGGCCGTACTCTTTGCGATTTACAGCTAGTATTTCATATTACTAAAGATGTTATTATTGGTTTTTAAGTTAATTTCAAGAACACATAAAAACGATTGTAGTGGTTATAGCAAACGTGAAAATTATAAATGTGGTATATTTACTAAATAGAGTTTTGAAAAGTGACTTAAAAGTTAAGTTAGTAACAAACGTGAATGAATACTTAATAGTTGAGTGAATAGTTCTAATATAACAAACATACAAGCCAATCAAAATAACTGAGTAAATGATTTTTATTTTGTTACATTTCATCCAAAATTAGAGTAGATATGTAATAAGTATTATTACAATGAACTAACAAATTCATCAATACGAAAATATCAATATGGCGCTTTTAAAACATCGATTAGAAATGACCTAGGAATACATGTGATTTATTATTAAAAAATATATAAATTACAAATAGACATTTGATGGATCTTAATTAAAAATTAAGATTGATAAACTATGGACGGCACATACAAATTCACAATGATATACAAAGAATGAGAATTTGAAGCATGATATGATGTACTGTAAACACATCTAGTGACGGGCGACATATGACTTAAATATACTAATTGTCCTTTCGTAACGAGGAAAGCATTGGGTCAAATAAAAATATTGCAATAAAAAAGCGTGATATTGACACCATGCTATTAACATGCTGTCATACATTCGAGGGTCTGGTCGCAGAACTGGTGGTACTCGTCGTGTGAGATCCTGGTCCTTGGTGGCGCTCGGGGCGGCGTCTCCTCTGTCATCAACATTACATTCGTGATCATCACCGACATTGCCAATTTTGATGAGTGTGTGAATGGAAGATGAGTGTGTAACATTTGGTATAATAGTTTCAAGTATTAAATGCCTATGTAGACAATTTGTCTCCTTATAAATTTATTTATCCCCCTTATCGTTTATATCATTGTTTTTATTTCTTCCTATTTGCATGTCACTCACCATTTCCTACAATAGTATCTTTTATCTTAAGGTTGCCTTTAAGATATTGCTTTCAGCATTAAGATTAAGATCATCTTGTTCTATTTATTTTACACATGGGATTAGTTTATTAATTAATTGTTTTTTTCTATAATTTTATAATACAAATAAAGCATATTTCTAAATTTTATGCTTTGTCTGTCTTTTCAAGTATCAGTTTAATCATAATCGAATCGAAATCAAATCTAATATTAAGTTTTATTCTTGACTATGTACATTTAAAATGTTAGATGATCGTGAATAGAAAATACAGCGAATAAATTTTTAATTACTACTAATATTATAAATACGAAAGAGTTTCTGTCTGTCTGTTTGTTTATGACGGCTGAACGGATCTTCCCAAAATTTGTCGTGAAGATAAATCGCATACAAGGACTGATATAGACTGTCTTTTATTTAGAAAAAGCAAACGAAGTCGCGCGATACCTTTAGTTGAATATATATCTATGAAATAATCTTTCGACAATGCAGTTATCGACTCGACTAAATATCATAAACGCGATCTAATTTAGATTGAATCCCTATTCGATTTTGTTAAAAATTACCCTGGAGGTCTATGTATAATTGTCTTTATTTATAATTGTCTTTCATTATTTTGTTTGTATAAGTGTGTCATTAAGGGAAGTGTAATTAATACAATTTGTTCTGATTATGCGAGTCATTTAAATAATATACAAGCGTAATTTGTGCTCTTCTGTTCGTGTAAATGAGACCTTAATTTTGGTGGCGAATTTTTTATAAAAATATATAGATTAGGTATGTTAGTTTAGATAGGGTTGGTTCCTCTTACCGGTTCTCTTCCATGGTTTAGGCGTGGTTTGTTGAGGCGCCGTATGCCTTGGGAAGGGTTGAGGCGCACACACTTCTGGACTAGCACAAGTTTCTGTGTCGTCTTCATCCTCATCATCCTGAAACGTAAATTAAAAAAAATATGAATTGTGTTTCTACTTTCTACACATAGTATAAAATGATGTCAATTCCGCTGTCTGTTCGCTTAGATCTTTTAAACTATGCAACGGTTTTTACAGCAGTTTTTAGCAATAGATATAGATATAGATAGTGATTCAAGAGGTTTATATGTATAATACTTGTATACACGTGCGAAGCCGGGGCGGTAAGCTAGTTACAAATAAAATAAATGCCAATACACTAATAAGTTTTTAACTTAAATATAATTGTGTATATCGAATATCGGATCAAATAACTTCTGAGCTGAAAATCTGAGTGTAAGAATATACCTGAGGGTATTGTGATTTATTTCTGTAGATAACTAAGGAAAAGATATTTACAATTTTGAGCGGATATAATATGTGTAAAGGAAATATACTTCTATTTGTATATAATATTATATACAGATGTTAATATATATATATATATATATATATATATATATATATATATATATATATATATATATATATATGTATATTCAAGTGAAAATAATACGTACTGGTTGAAACTATCCTCCATAAGAATATCCTATATCCTATCCATAAGAACCATTATCGGAAATTTCACAATTCACTTTAAAGTTCTACTTTTCATAACTCCCATAGTTAGCATACTTTCAAATTTTACCATAACCCATTGATTTTCTTCGCATGTAACTAAATTAACCACAGCAGCTCTGGTTAATTTATTACATTGTTTACGAGCTCTAAGAAACCATGAAGCATTAAATAATGTAGTAATCAAGTTAAAAATAAATCTTTTACGATTTTATTTTGTCAACATTACACACAACAACAAAATTTGTTTTTTACCATTCAATATATAGTGGTTAACGTGGGTGATACTTTTGGTAAAAATTATAACAAAATAGCCTATAACTGTTTCTTGACCTAAATGATATACATACCCATACTAATAGTATAAATCTTACTTAATATTTTATTTTTTCGCATACTTAAACATTTTAAGTATGAGAAACATAACAATTGTTTTTTTTTATTTTAATATAAATATTATTCAGTATTTTGTAGAAAGTATTATGTAGTAGAGAAAATATGAAAGTATTTCTGTATTCAGAACACTTAAAATTAGCGAAAATTAACACTCAAATCCATTTGAGTTCAGAAGTTTTCAATTTATGTATTGTTGTTATAGTACAAATAGCATTACCTGCGAATAGAATCTGTGCCATTTTTTTTGTAAAATACACTATGTGAATACCAAGGTACGTAAGCGTATGTATATATGCATTAACAAAGTTAATCGCTAATAATATCTAAGGACAATTCACATAGCGCCATCTAGACCCAAGTTAAGGTAACTAAAGCTTGTGTCATGGGTACTAGAATATAAACAGGCCGATACAAACAATCATACTCATTTATACAAATGTTTGTGCCGTGCGAGGAATTGAACCCGCGACCATCGGAAGTAAGGCGGTGTGCTAATCCATCATTCCATTTACAACTTACAGACGGACCAACGAGTCTGTAAGTTGTAAATGGAATATAAATTGGCCGAAATAATAATTTCATCCATTGTATTGTGATAGCTATTATTATTTAACAAATTGTCTCGTGCAATACATTACGTAACGTAGCAAATGATCGCATACAGTAATTGTTGTGCTTTGCATATTTTGAACACAACCAATATTGCATTCAATGTTGTAAATAAACGTGGCGTGTTTATAGAACAAACAATACAATACTTTACGTAACTTATAATTACAAAAGAGTTTGCTACAACATAAGTATTATGTACATTTCTACATGATGTAGTGATTTATAATATGTGTCTCAAATATTATGTATAGTGAACCCCTTGCAATTTCACCCGGCGTGACAAATATATATATATCTATATTAATAAACAATAAAGCCCTTTATTCCGAACTTTACAATTTATATAAATTGTAAATTTCAGAGTAAAGGTCTTCTATATCTCTAATTTCAGTGTACATTTTGGACATAGGCCTCTTCCAGCGACCTCCGTTGAATTGTATCCTGTGCAACACGTCTCCATCCTATCGGCGTGACTGATACAACAACAAAACATCAATATTCATTCGTCTATTCAAAGAACAAATAGTTTGAAACGAATTGCTACAACATCTTGTCATATGGGCGTTATTTAGGACACAATTTGAGAACAAAACGTTTTATAACTGACTTCAAAAAAGGAGGAGGTTCTTTGGTAGATCGCAATGTATGTTTTTTTTACATATATATTTTGATATATTCTAATTTGATAAGATTTTATTTGTTTTTAAGAAATAGTTGATAGTTGATAGTGTTAGTTTCTTGGGCACTAAATTATATATAAATTTTGAAACCAAGGTTTTTTCTAAGAATATCTTAAACTGTATCGATACAATTGTTCAATATTAACCACAAGTCTTATAATTATGTCATAATTGTGAACTCCGTGCCATCAACTGACAAGAAGGTGCAGGTACAAATCGGTTTTTGATGCAATTCCCACAATATAGTAGGAGAAACTGTGTTCAATATAAAAATCGCGTTCCGCACGCGATTTCTCCCGTGGAATTTGTTATTAATTCGCTAAACGTAGAGTCTGCTTTTTCAGCTGAGAGTTATTAACTATTTCTAACGCAAAAACTCATTATACGTATAAACTGGCAATTCGCAATTTCAGTTGGTTCCAGTTCAGTTGCTTAATACATTGTAAGTATTTATAAGTATTAAGTTATTAATGCATTTAAGTAGGTTAAGTAATAGTTATGTATGTATGATATTTGAAACTGTTTTAGGTGCCATAGTTACTGTACTAACGTTTTATGTTGATATTTGAACGGATATCCTTTTCCGTTTTATGATTAGGAAACGGGTATAACTACTAAGCCAGTTTTCAATTCAATATGTTAGAGTGCTTTAGTTTAAGTTCTGTAAAGAAGTTGAATACAATTAGTATGGTTTAAAATATATAACATATTTTTGCAGAAAAATAATAAAATAGTTTACAATCAGTACAAGAAATTATTTGGTAGCGTGCAATTGATACAAAAGTGGATAAATATTGTAATACAAAACTATGTGTGCCTAGAAGGTAAATTATAGAAATGTATATGTATGTATGTATTAGTAATATTACTAAAGATAATAAAAAGTATAGCAAATAGAAAGAACTACAGTAACACTGTGAATTATTTTGGATACACTTGGTTAAGAAAGATAGAAAGAAAAGTAAAATTAACAGATATTTATATAAAAATAATTAAGAACAATATTAAATATCGTTATGCAGTATTTGGATTGAACTGTATATGGCGGAACTGTCTCCGAAACTGAAACAGTGTTATATAAACATAAAATATATGAAGTTCACATGTGTATTAGTATACAGAAATGGCAATATACATATAAAGGGCCTTTCCTTTATAAATTTAGCGTCGTAGGTACATATCATACCCGAGTATTACCTACTTGGTGAAAGCTGGAATCCGAGGTTGTAAGGTAATCTCAACGAGTATCATTATAAAGCAATACACTATTGCACAAGAGATTGCAGAAATTCTGTCGATTATGTGGAACCGATGTCTAGTAAAAGTCTAAAGCATTCCATTATAGTTTCGAGTAAAGGAAAGGAGGAGTCAAGGAATTCATTTTATACATAGAAATGAACATATATACAGAAAGATAGTGCGTGTCAAAAGTCCTAACAATATCGTATAATTGTCAGGACTTTTGATATCGTAAATATTGTTAGGACTTTTGATAAAAACCCAATACATATAAAGCGAAAAACAGATTCCATACAAATCACAAACAAATTATTTACATATTCCTGCAGTTAGTCATATATAAATCACAATAATAAAAGAATGTCATATCTAAGTACTATTAAATAAAACATTTCATACCAAAATTTCACTGCAAGTAAACAGATCTTTATTTACGTGCTCAGGTAAGCACACTGTGACAGATACGGCAACAGCTGTCTTTGAACGTTAATTTAGACAAAACGGCATCTTTGCATTCATTAAACAAATAAATATTAATTTCATTTATTTGGATTAGGAATTTTTTTATACGAAATGTACGAAATAATATTATGGTCACGAAATTCATTATCGTAAAATATCCACAAAGAGTGGATATATATATTACGATCATTATAATTGAAAGACAATGTGTGTAGGATAAGATTAAAAATGGCTACTCTTTTTCTAGATAAAATATATCAATAAGAAAATCCTACACGTAACTATAATTGAATAAATGAATGCCCCCATTCTGGCATATACGTACATTGATCGTGGATGACCCATAAAAGATATTCCCAAGTTCTAAAATGCGAAGTGAATGTACTGATATCCTTTTTATTTTTACACATTGCTATCATGTAAGCCTCTTGGCTATTATTAGTGCAAAATGGTGGCATAACGCCTAATCTTGTTTGTTAGTTACAGTCGTCTTCATAAAGATCGTCAATATGTATAGTATTAAAGATAAGAGAAGTCAATATTATACTAAGAATACAAATTCGTTAAATACCGAATAACAATATCCATGAACAGTATGTAAACTTCGGTTGTCAGTGTCTTCACTAAACATATGCCAGTTTTAAAAAATGCAATAGAAAGTAATTATTCTTTACTATGTAATTATTACCTAAATTATTACTATTCTCCGCGATTTCAACCGCGTAGAATTAAACTAAAAATAGCCTAACTAACTCCGTATAACCTTATCTATCTGTGAGTGAAAATATAATCTAAATCATATACCATAAATACTTTTCATATGCATTTAGTGCAAAGCTGTTAATTTGAAACTACAAAGAGTTATTTTATTTTATTTATTTGTGTAGGCAACGGGTGATGTTTTTAGAGGGAGAAACGAAAAAAGTAGTTGACCATTCTCTCGCCAAAATATTAATGAGTAAGCCGACTGTACTTACCAGCTAACGAGTTGGAACGAAGCCAAACAAATAAATTGAACAATGAAACCAGAAAGACAGAATAGATCCTCTAAGGGTCTCTAGTAATTTACTGAAACGATAAATTATATTTTGCCGAAGTACGAAAAAAAACGGAGAAATTCCTAAATCCACCAATATTTTTGCATGCATGTACCGATTAGGCTGACTCATTCACAAAATGAAACGCATTAAACTTAATACAAATAAATACTGTTTTGTAATCTTGCTTGATGTATGATATAGGTATATATATATATATATATATACTGATGTATGATTAAGGACAAAATTGGAGTCATGGCATAACAACGTTTAATGAGAATGATGGAAGATCGGAGGAAGTGTAAGCTCTCCATCGACAACTGCGTGGTAAATTATGAATGAATGAAATATTCTAAATCAATAAATTAAATAATCCATTAACGTCCCACTATAGGGCACGGATTCCTCCCCATAACTGACAAGGTCCAGTACAGGGTTCTAGTGCTTATATCTCCTGTCGACTACATATGATAGGATTGAAAAGGAATGAAATTTATATGTTTACTCCACATGAAGTCACAGACTCATAGATGAAGATGGGACTGCTAAATAAAAGAAAGTGACGGACTACCTGATGGTAAGTGGCAACAACACTACGGATATGCGTTATGCAAGCAATAGATTCACCCCGATGTTGCGATTTAAAGGCACTGAAACTATATTGAATAATTGCTGACAAATTAATCATAATAAGCTAAGTGGCCTTATGACATGCTCTTCTATCGCTCATGCCAGCGTATATTAAGTACCATTACCGTACCATTAGACGGTGGAATCACCACTCCATTATCATTCATAAAAATATCGCAAATGGAGACAATTCCGAGAGATTCCACCCGCAACCAGAAAAAGATTAATGGCTAACAATAAGTTATGGATGAAGGACGAATATTTTTTGGACACTGCGTCTAATATTAGCATAAAAGATAGCACATTTATTAAACAAACTTAGCTTGTTAGTTTATCGACATATATAAAACGTCATATGTCGATAAACTAACATAAAAAAATCGTATTATGCATTGTTTGATATTATTGAACCGTCTAAAATTTTTATAATCGACCGTTTTTTTATTTTTTTTTTGATGATTTACACAATAATTATATTTTTTATATATTGTTAAAAGAAAGTCTTTAAACGCGCTATTACGTCAGAGTATACTAGTAGAGTATACTAGTAAAACCAGCACTATCATAATTATATATATTAAAAGAACATGCATGTCAGTCTGTAGTGTCAGAAGAGTTATAAAAATGACGCAATTTTTTAAAAAGATTTTATTTCACTTTGATACTTGACTTAATGAAAGTTGGTAAAATTCGATTGACGATTATACAACGTGAAAGCTTATAAATTTATTTGTTTTTTTTTTGATAGGCACCTCATTTCACTGAGCACGATATTTCACAGTAAACGCATAAGTAAGTAAGGAAAGTACTACAAAATGGTGAAACAATACATCATGTAATCGAACAAAATATTCTAGTTTTATTTTTTTAGCCGATTTGAAAAAGCAGCAAGTTTAGTTCGTGTATATTTTCTTTAATATATATTCTACGTTTATTATTTAAATAAAATTAAGCATTTATATATTAGGCTACTATACAAAACAAAATTTTAGTGTACGATACTAATATAGTAATATGGTGGTAAGAGTTAAAATAACTCTGTTAAGATTAAAATTTTATATATATTATTTTTAACCTCATCCTCTAGTATATCCGGCTTAGAATTTGCAAGAAGCTCAACCGGTACTTATATATTTTTTAATCAGTTTTTTTAACATAACCTTTACAGAAAGTAAAGAAATTATAACAAACTCTTCGGTATTGTTTTAGGTTAGATACATTTGGCCCGGGGCGCTGCTCTCATTAGCTAGTGGGGCCCCAACTGCCTACACCTTCACCGTTGTATGTTATGACCTACTTTTGCCATATATAGCATACGTAGTATCGTACCGCATATTTCTTTATAGAAATATTACCATAGACAAAGAAATTACTAGATGACATTTTATTGACAAATAATTAGGATTTATTCAACCACTAGTTTTGTTAAGTAAAGATATGATGTGATACTATTCATGTGTTGCCATTGTGGAGGACAAATTTATGTTTTTTATCCTGTAAATTGACTGTCTAATCGCACCCAACAATTCAAAAACAACAAAGCAATCTGCTTCACGGCTGAAATAGGTGAGATGAGATATCCACTGCTGTAATAGTTTATTCATTAAGAAAACTTATTTCATTTAAAATTTCTTTCATGTGTAACATAATATATTATCAACAAGTAACAAGAGTCGTTCTCTATTAAAAGAAAATATTGCTCCGGGCCTAGTCTAACATCTTATTTTTGAGATTTGTATATATAATTTTCCTTTATGGACTAAGAAATAATGTCATAATAGCACTATTTCAAACTTCGATTTTATTACAAGTGTCACAAGGTCGTACAACGAAACGAGGCCTGATGAGTTATTTGTACAGATGTAACTGTTCCTACGAAGGATATTGAAGTACCGTTAGTTATTAGTGTCGGCTCTTTAAGAACTGCAAGTACTAGTACGTCTCTTGTTTATAGTTGAGGTTGCGTGACTGATCATAATTAGAGCTGGCGACTGCGCAACGCAAACGTGGGAATCCGGTTGTAGACTTTACACTTTTATAGCTTATCATTACCGTGCTATTAGCTGAGGCTTCTTACTTTGACGTGGTTCAATAATACACTTTGCATAGATGAGGAATTCCGGGATTTATTCTCGCTCTGTCCAATTTAGAAAATAAACTATTCTGGGAGTAGAGAAATCTGATATCGAATTTACAAATGGAGGCATAAGGTAGAGTACTCATACAGACGAACAATATCGCATAACGGCACGTTATTGTGTAGTATTCAATAAGAAACTTAACTTTTATAGGATAATAAAATTTTATTTTATTTATTATGGATTGAAATATGAATATTATTACGTATACTAGTAGTCCTACATAACCTTTTCGGTCAGTAGGGTCGAGATTGTGCATCTTTTCCACACACAATGTTTGTCCAGCTAACGTATTTGATATTATACCAATTTATTAAATGCCAACAAACCAGCCTGACCTGATAATTTACCAGCATATAAAAAGTACAAGCAAAACTGCAGTAGTTCTTTCCTTAAATTTTCTTTCAAGTTACATAATTATGAATAACACTATACATTGCATTCTTCAAGCATTTTATAAATAAACTTAATATTAAATACTATTAACCTACATTGCAGTTAAACACAAAGGCCTAAAAATCCTAAACTCCTAAGCTTTTAATCGTCGAGAACACTCGGCCTGGTTTTCCAAGGTACCTATTGTCATCGAGGACAATATTCTAGCAGGCACAAAGTGAACCATATATATAAAGATAAGTAATGGTACAGCTCGTATATTTGAACAATATATGTATATCATTTCTAAAAGAGATTAATATTATAGGTGGTTTTTTAACCCTTTGGAAGAAACAAAACAAGAGATAGCTGTTTTTTCAAATTAGAATAATAATTTGGAAAACTAATACTATTTCCATATGTAGCCAGAATATTTTAAAAATATGTTTTTTGTATTACATATATTAAACATTGCTTTGGAACATTATTTATTTTTAGTAATACAATAATATTTTCTGAACAATCGGAAGATATTAGGATTCATACAAGTAAATACAATGATACATCTTTTATTTAGCATATTACAATTGTAGACTAACAATAGCGACTGATATATGTAATTTGTTTTTATTTATACCTACTGGATTACAGTGTAAGAATTTTGTGAGCTCCGATATTAAGTCACCAATTTCAAAAATCTTCCATCATTTCAAATATATCATTGGTAATAACTTATATATTATAGGTATTGATGAAGTAGAGTTAGTTTTGGTTCTAATAAAAAAAATTGCTAGAGCAAGTCACGCTGTACGCTCGGAACTAATTTATTTTTTGTAGCGTACGTACGTGTCATTCTTATGAAAGTATGAAAAAATTCAGTATCATGTCGGGCCATGTCAAATTAAGTAACGATCTACAAACGTTCAACATAAACGAGTACATACTTCAACTCAGTTTTGTATAACACCTACTTAAGTACTTTACAACTTTGTCACAATAACAATTTATTGGCTATACCATTTTCACGATAAAATATTTAAAATATTGGAAGTTGTCAATAAAGCCACTGTGACAAAGAACCTACTATGGGGTACAGAATATTAATGTAAGCAATGGGATTTACGTGATATATTACTGTAGATAGTAGCACAAGTTTTAAAAAAGTACAAGAAGAATATATAAACGATTTTTTAAGAATTTTTAATACAGCCTTCAAAAACAATGAATTAATATATCATATTATGAACTTTCCATTCCACTTTCATTACAAGATGCAACGTCTCTGCTGATATGGCCCTTGAATTGGTATGAAGAATACACTCACGACTATATTCTCAGATAGATTAAGCAGATCTTACTAATATTTTAAACGTAGAAGTTTCTGAGTGTGGACGAATGGATATATGTTTGTTACTCATTTACGCAAAAACTACTGAATAATGGATTATAATGAAACTTTACAGTTATATATCTTATACATTAGACCAGAGGTTTCCAAACTTTTTTGTGTCGTAGTCCCCTTGCCATATTTTTCGGTTTTAGTTAGACCCTCCATTCTTACCTGATTTTTTGTAAACTTCTAATTGTAGTAAAGTTTAGTGTTAAAAATATAAAGTAAAAACAACAAGATGACCGCTGTCGTAGACCCTTGCAGTTTGTCATAGACCCCTGGGGGTCGATACAGACCACTTTGGGAAACACTGCATTACACTAACACAACATATAATATATTTCATGCGGTTGAAACTGCGGTAACAGCTAGTACATTATAAACTATTGCCGTACAGAGGAAATTGGAAATTAACCCTTATATTGCTCACCTCGAGATTGTCAAAGTCGACTTTAATAAGCCTGCGTTGGGGTTGCGCATGCGGCGTGACGTCACCACTCCGCCGCGAGTCACCCCCACCCGGCCCACTTCCGGAACCACTAGTCGCTGTAACAATAGATAATATACAATTATATAATGTTTACAAACACTAAATCAACATATAGTACACGTCAGGTACATGACAGGTTGCCTCCACGCAGTTCCCATTGCATAAATTCACCACTAATTTGTCAAGACGTTAATAGGTTAACAGACTTGATAATTAAATAAAATTGAAGTCACTGGTTGTAATTTCAAACTAATAATAGTTAAATTACACGTAGGTAACAGCTAGTTATGTAAATACGAAACTTATAAGTGGTAGTTTTATTAATTCTCGTTTTGTTGTTATTAGTTTGCCAGCACGATACAAATATAATACTTCACAAATGGGTCAACATGTAGAGGCGTGTCAACTACAGATCCAATATATGTAGGTACATACATTTACAACCTCGGTGGTCTAGCGGTTTAGCACACCGATATACTTGATGGTCGCAGGTTCGATTCCCCGCACTGTGCAAATATTATTATTCACAAATATGATTGTTAATATCGGTCTAGGTGTCTATGTATATTATGTATGCATTTATAAAAAAAATCTATGTATTTAGACAGTTGACTAGTACCCATAACACAAGCTCTGCTTACTAGAATAGATGACACTGAGTTAATTATCCAGGGTTATTTATTCATTTATATACATATATTATTCTCTTATATTTGCTATAGTCAACGCGAGTTTGCGATCGGTACTTACGGATTTGGAAATTACAAAGAATCTAATAATTCAAATTCAAATTCAAATTCAAATTCAAATTAGCCGTGCGTAAGGTTAGACAGTACACTGATACTGATACTGCTAGATTAGTCTATTTTAGTTATTTTCATAGTTTACTCTCTTATGGAATATTACTATGGGGAAAAGCGGCAGATATTAAAAATATATTCATATTACAAAAACGTGCCGTTCGAGCGATCTACTGTATGAAGAGTCGTGACTCATTAAGAGAGAAATTCAAAGAGGCAAATATTCTCACCGTTGCTTCTCAATTTATATATTCAAATATCCTATATGTTCATAAAAATCTTGACTTATTTCAAAAAACAGCAATATTCATAATATTAATACAAGATTTAAAGACAAACTTGCTGTCCCCAAGTATCGTTTAGAAAAAGTTAATAGGTCTTTTATGGGAATAGGTATAAAAATTTACAATAAGATACCAAAGGATATGTTGGAATTACCCTTAAATAAATTCAAAACATCTGTTAAATCATATTTACTGAGCAAAGCCTATTACTCACTAAACGATTACTTGAATGACGAGTGTGCATGGCAATAGTTGTTCATGCACTGAATTTTCATTTAATGTTAGACATAGACACCTATATAAATATACATTGTAAATAAACTGGCTTTAAAAAAAAAAAGTAATTCAATTGAGTTTCTTGCCAGTTATTCTCAATTGGATCTATATACCGAACTGGACGGTAGGGAAAAAAATAAAATTATAATGTAAAAATTTGACGTTCATAAGCGGCTAAAATGTCCTACATGAATAAATGATTTGAATTTGAATTTGAATTTGAATTTGACTTTTAGACGAACTTACATAACTGAAGCAATAAAACTACTGTCGCGTGTTAAACTTAATAAACTCCTAAATTGAAAACGCCTCATGTTCAATCGATATCTAATTTGAGATTTACCTCTATACAATCTTTAAATCTGACAAAGTTGATACGAGATCGACACGAGAACAAATCCTGTGGATTAAGAAAAGAATCAACAAAATCGGTGCATAATACGGTATGGATATTGCATATAATATCACCACATGGTTCCGCCAAGAAACCATCGTGATATCTGGTAATATAGTCACAAAGAGCTAATTGACACCATCTTATCATTCTTCATTGGTATCTGTCAACTATTAAAAAAAGATAAACTTGTATTATGCCTGTTTGTATGTGTTAGGTAACGCTTCGAGCTCTGACTACTCTTTAGTACCTTGTCATAATACCAGTATATAGGTAAATTTACAGAGACAAATGTCTACAGTACCCTAAACACGCACCTTATCTTAATGAAAATTACCTGAAAATATATTGTTATTGTCCGGAGAGCAGACATAGGCTATGTCTGCTCTCTTCTTTTATTTTTAAAAACACCTGAAGACTCAGGTACTCATTTTAACTAATCTTATATATAAAATTCTCGTGTCACAGTTTTCGTTCCCATACTCCTCCGAAACGGCTTGACCGATTCTCATGAAATTTTGTGAGCGTATTGAGTAGATCTGAGAATCGGCCAATATCTATTTTTCATCCCCCTAAATGTTAGGGGTAGTCCACCCCTAATTTTTATTTTTTTATTTTAAGATAAAACAACGTTTGCCGGGAAAGCTAGTACTAGTATAAAATTGATACCGGTTGCTTCACAACATCTATGAGAAAGACTTCTCCAAGTCATTAATAAGTAACAAAGTCCTAAATTGTTAACACATTACTTATAAGTAGATTACCTACCTAACCTGACCTAAACACATTTTTAATTAAGATTTATGATCACTCTGTTTTATGCCTTTGTCTCTGCAATTATGATTGAAAGTCCTTCACGACCCGACCTTCTCTACTCCCCAGTGGACAGTGACAGGTACATTTACGTGATAGGATCAACTACATATGAATAACAACGTGCAAAATGCCAACATGTGGCATTTTCGTAAAATGTCATATCTAATCTGTTTGACCAACATCTCACATTGAAATATCTGATCTGATAAGACCCTTAAACTGTGACAAGTGTCGGATAAGTTGCCTAATGTTTAGAGGAAATCTCATCGCCTCTGCTTTTTCTTAGTATATACTTCTTTTGATTTTTGACGACCTAAATGATATAGCAATTTGGCATATTTATATTCTAATACCCGTGTGTTTGGTTCCCTTACAATATGTGATTTTTTATTTACATAATAAGTATAGATTTAAAAAAAATAAGTACGTTTATCATCTATCTAGTGCTATTAGCATAAGCATAGTTTAGCATACGTGAAAAAAAATTTCATCAAAACTATATAACATCAAATTAATAATAATAATTAAGATAACATTATTTGGGATATTACCTTATTTGTCATAAAAAGTAAATAAAATATTCTATTATGTTTTAGCATTTATAAACAAATTTTTCAGGTTACGTGTTTTTGTTTCAAAATATCCAAAAATGATCTGGTAGAGATCCTTATATCGCTGTAAAAGAAAGCAATACCTAATAAAAGACTTAGCGAAATTCTCATACCAATAAATAAACGATAACGTGAGTGTATATTTACATATATGAATTTCCATTGCACTGTATTACGTCCGACATATTTCATGCTGAATAAATAATTTCGCTGGTCTGCCGCGTTCCTGAGCAGAATTTTTATTGCTTATCCTGAGTGATTCTAAATAAATAAAAGAATAATATTCTAGAGAATAAGATGCTTAAACTATAAATATAATTGTATGCTAAATATTCACGGCCTCAGTGGTCTAGCGATTTAGTACACCGCTTTACTTTCGATGGTAGCGGGATCGATTAGGTACATTTATATTCATGAGCATGATTGTTTGTATAGGTCTGAGTGTATAGTATGTAAATAACGTATGTATTTACAAAAAAAAATGTATTTATATCAGTTGTCGAATACCTACTCATAACACAAGCTCTGTGTGAATTGTCTTGGGTAATTATTATTATAAATTGCTGAACTTAGTATATTTGTTACAACGAAATATTGAATTTTACAAGAAAAATATATATAACTCATGTAAAGGACCGTTAAAGTAATACTTATAAAACAATCCATAAAAAGGCAGATAATATGTTTTTAAATTACATTGTGTCTCCATTTAATATTCAAAAATATACTAAAAAATAAGCAGGGTTATCGTTACATTATCGCCTTGGATTCTTAAATAAATCCTTGTCAGTTCTTATTTTTACAAACTTCGATCCATTAATATTCCTTTGAAAACTTACATCAGATACTCTATTGTTTATTTCCAAGGTTTCTTGACCAACAGTAAAGTATCTGCATAGGTTAATTAGTTATTGAATATTCAATTCTATTTTGTAACGACTTAAGATTAAATCTCGTAAACTGAAGAACATACTTTGATGTAACATTCCTCCTTTTTTCTGTTTCTGATTAATATTAATTACAGGGATAAGAAGGATAATATAAGATAAATAAATAAGATAGATAAGAAGAAATCTCTTTAAAAACAAAACTTTAGTTTTCATTCATTCATCACAATACATATTTACGAGTATAAAAAATCAGTGCTAGAAGTATCCAAAACTAGTTATTATACTCCTAATAGTGATTGTGAGAAAAACTAGTAACAAATAAAGTAAGTTACTAAAAATAGAGATAGAATTAGCGGCCTAGATTTGCATCTAGTCGTCTGCATTGCGGCCTAACGCCGTGATTAAGTGGTCTTTTATAGCACTTCGGCTGAGTAATCATTAAAAGTTTATAATTTAGTGCGGTTACATCAATTTTTATCATAATATTTATATTAAACAGTTTAAACATAATAGTAAAACTAGATGTCATCATTTGTAATCTTACTATCTTAATAATATTACAAACGCGAGAGTTTTTGTGACTTTGGATGGATGGATGAATGTTTGTTCCTCTTTCACGCAAAAACTACCGTACGGATTTTAATAAAACTTTACAGTTTTAATATAGTTTTTTTAATATAGTTTCTACATCAGAATAACAAATAGGCTATAATTTGAAAAGATACTACGTAAATTGGGCGATATATAATAATAATGATAAATGTAAAGTAAGTATGATGCAGATGAAGTTATGCGAGTCAGCTAGTATGTATATAAAAATAAAAGATAACATTAAATAGAACATGGTAATGACCAACGACGTCTTGAGTCAGCTTAAACAGCTGTAGCACAACTGCAGCTATATGGTGAGGTTACAAGATAATGTGGAAACTTAAAAATGATTACCTATAGGGTAAGCATTACAACCGATAAGGTAATATACCTT